TTCTTGGTCAACTCCTAGCAATGGGAGTTTGGTTTCACGTGCGCGGAAATTGCAGAACCCGGAGAAAACCCACACTACATAGAGGGCGTGGAGTTGGGGGGGGGTAACGTTCAAATGTCTGCACACAGATGGATTCAGGAATCCAATTCTCTACTGCCATCTAACGAACACCCCGCAGCACGAGGCCACTACAGTGGCTGTGCTGCCGTGCTAGTAACTAGCCAGGTTCACGCCTGCTTGCCTTTCACGATCTTTGAAATCAATTAAAACGAAATCAGGCACCATCAACATAGCCTCATTGATTTCTGATCATCATTATCACGTGGACGAGTGGGCACAACCTACGCGGCCATGGCTCGCGTAATGATTGTTGTGTACACGTGTGTGTGTCTGTGGTGGGGAGCGGTGGTGTAGCGGTTAGTGCGCTGCGCTATGAACCCGGCGAACCGGGTTCGATTCCAGCTCACGGCCAACACACAGTGGCTATTATCTGAACCGGTCCCGGGCCTCCCCTAGGTCGACTCAGCCACAAATAAGTACCTGGTGCGGTGTGTAAACATCGTCACAGGGGAAATAATGGTGATGGCCACCCCCTCGTGTACCGCTCCTGCCTTCATAGGTGCTCGCTAACAGCACTTGCCCCTACAGTCTGTAGGGGCAAGGGGGGAGCTTTATCTTTGTGCCACGAGTGGACATACATACAGTGGCCGTCACTGTAAGCACGCTTTTTCAATCTCTTCCACCATCGATCACAGCTAATCTGCATAATGGTAATCACCGACATCGGCTGGTTGATTGAGCTGCTGTCTGGAACGTGCACGTGGCGTCAGTTTCCATACATTCCTGCTCGTTTTCTCCTCTGTTCCGTGAGCGCTCGCCGATTGATATCATCGGCCACAAGTGATGAAGCCCCAGCATCAATGTTTCCCACATTTGGACATAAATAGCCACGGAGATTGCTGGGCGTCTTGAACAAAATAAATAAATAGTTTGCTTAATTACCCGAAACTCCTGTATATAGCGTCCATTAACTTTGCTTATGAATACATCAATAATGCGAATTCAACGATCATAACTCGTTAATATTTAAACGCGGATCGTTAAATTTTTTTACACACGGGACCAGGCCAGGGATGCACAGATAGCGGGCACAGATACACACCAACAAAAACAACAACAACTTGGCTCCACGCTCCATAAAAGTGTGGTGGATTGGTGTTTTACACCAACACACATTTCGATATATGATGCTTTCACCACCTTTGCAATTTGTTTCATACCGTAATTATTTTAATTACGCAGCGCACAAATGTAGATATATTTTTTTTGGGTTACCTTCCCGGAATGGTTTGCTCCGCAGCCGGTCAATTAGCAGTTCGCGTGCGTTTTTTTATTCTTCTATAAATTGTTTTTAAGTGCGGGTGACTCCCACTTCTTCCGTGGACGTCTGGCTTAGGTGGAAGAGCCGGCCACATACCCACCTCTCGTGGAGGGCCCTTGTTCCAGCAGTCGCACGAGCAGGCGATTGCAGGGCTGTACCTTGAACGAATTGCCTGGCAATGACCTTTCAGTCAGTTCACGGGTGCGGTCATTCAGATTCATGGGCCGTAATTTTAGATCCCTCGAGGCCACACAATGCATTGGCGGGTCATTCTCCCCCACAGTTTGCCCTAAGAGGTCCCTTGCCACGGCTATTACCTGCCGACAATGCATTTCTCGGCAAGGTGTTTGTTACAGATAACAACGGAAGATTGTTTACAGCCCACAACGAGGTCTCGGGTGTTTCTGGGCGTCGAGCAGTCGGCGTCATCGTCATGATCATCAACATCACCACCATCGGCCACGATCAATCCGCTGTCGGATGACGGCCTTCCCAAAGCAGTCACCAACGGTCTCCAATCCACCCGGCATTTGCACATGAGCCAAACATTCATTGCTCCATCTCCGCGGTGAACGTTAGCTCGGGGCGGGGGGAGGGGGTGCTGGCCCTTCGTTGGCGACATGGGCAGTGAATTTGTAAAATTTTAGCGGCGGTCCGCATTTGGTCGTGACCACGCTGATTACGTATTTCACGCTGACCCACACAACCCAGCACTGGGGTTAACAGCCCCATTACGAACGGGAGAGAAACATGTTAACGAGCCTCGTGGGAACAAAAAAAAACAAAAGGCCAGAATACTATACTTGTGTAGTTAACACCACTATACTTGTATAGAAGACAAATCAATACATGTTCGGTTTGATAGTGCGAATGTCAGAGTCCATCATGAAATTCCATTAATCTTGGCGTCTTTGCATAATAATGTTCACTGACTAACTCGCTTGTGTGTGTGCGTGTGTGCGTGTGTGCACATGTGTGTGTATGTGTGCGTGTTTGTACGTGTGTGTACGCCTGTGTGTGCGTGCGCGTGTGTGCGTGCGTGCGTGCATGTGTGTGTACGCCTGTGTGTGCGTGTGTGTGCGTGCGTTCTGGGTTGTCCGCTCGTGTCGTTTTTCTCAGGCTTTGCTGTGTGGGCTGATTGGAGTGGTGTCATGGAAGCGGCCAATAGCGATCGTGGTGTGTATCACTGGCACGTGGCGACATGCCACTGTGGCGTTGGGCACACGAGCGACCCGAGGCATCGCCCTATTTGCTAAAGAGACCCTGGACACAAAGCACCGGGACTTGCCGTCATTACCATTGCACAGAGCCGCCAAGGGGGGAGCGAGGGTTGGTGCGCTGGAATTATAGATGTCGCCGGATCGATTTTACCTCCTGGCGCGGCAGTTTCTTAAATCCGCTCGCCCACTGACTCTGTCCACCCGGCAGTATAAATGAATAGAGAAGCGGTGGATTGATCGGCAGCTTGCGTGCGATGCGTACGCTCGCCTCTTCCAACGCGTCTCGTCAAAGTGGAAGAGTAGACCAATCACCTTCTAGGTTTCTCTCTAGCTTGAGGCCCCATCTGCCGGCAGTGGCGCGAGCGAGCAATTGTAAAGCCGCACGAATACCATAGGGGCTTAATTCCATCTGGGTCTATCTGCACCCAGCACACCACATCCAGTATACCTCTCACGATGGCTGTGGCTACGAGCCATGTGCCACCTATTTTAATCTACCAGCGACCCAAGAAATACAATAAGTACGTATTCTAGATTTGAAGCTTTCGTGACTGCAAGGATCCATACTCTTTGGTTCTATTGGGTAAAGTCTCGTAGGTAAAAAATAAAATAACAAAAATCACGACGTTTCGACCACGACACAAGTGGCCTTCATCAGGTGAAGGGACCAACCTGTCCGGAGGACAGCGTTGGAGTGAAAAAGTCAAGCGCAGGTCGCCTCCTTTAAGCTGTGAGTGGGTAAACAGAAAAGACGCCTTGACAAAGGATTCCTTCACATAATAAGTAATAATAATAAGTACGTCTTTACTGCAGCAGATGATTACAAAGTCCTCCGAGTCACGGAACAAAACGGGGTGTTTTTTTCTCTTTCTGAAATTAAACATCGATGGATTCCTTTCCTTCGTTTATTAAATGGCGATGGACATTACGCTTCAACCGACACAACAATTCAGTTTTACATGTAACGCTGCAAAGTAATTATTCCTCTTGAAATCTTTGACCGAGCGAGTGCATATATTGGACATAAATGAAAACGCTGCAGCCTGTTATTTTATCTAGAGCGGACATTTAAACGACAAAAAAACATCTGAAAGAAATCAATGCCGGTACCGTGTTCTGCACGAGCACCCTCCCCCCCCCCCCCCCCCGTGTATGCGAGATAACGCGCTGGACAGCAGCTATTAACCAAAGATTTATCATCGCAAATCTACTTTAATGTCCGAGTGTAGTTACCCAGCCCGTTCATTATTTACCACAGCGTTCATCAAGCCCGCCATCGCCGCTACCATCGCCACCGTCGATTTCCCTCGTCACCCATCATTCCCGGGAGTGCATCGCAAAAAGATGCAACGTATTAATATTTAATCACAAGCCGTCACCTCCAGCTCGTATACTGTATGTACGTTCGTACGTTGAACTTCTTTCGCACCGCCGTACGTGGCCAGCCGCTCTAATCGGATGTGCGGAAGGAGGACCACAAACTAAACGCAAAACTCACTTCTCAAGAAAGGAATTTTCAATCGAGGTTTAAAAGCGCGCAGCTTTTAAACCTCTGTGCAACGGTTAAAACGGCGAACGGACCCCGCGATCCAGACGTCGCCGGTTCGATTTGATCTCCTGGCGCGGCATGGTGGTGGCGTAAATGGGTTTCGCCGCAGGTCGTAGGTCAGCAGGTCACGTATGGTGGGGTAAAGCGTGGGCGCTCCCCGCACCCTCCAAATCGTCTGGGCGCTGTCGTGGAGGAGGCCAAATACCCTCCATGGAGGGGCTCTCCGGAGTTCTGTCTCTCGCGTGCACCAGCGGTGATGAACCAGCTGTGGTGCACACAGGCGGTGATGCATCACCGCCTGTGTGCACCAGCGGTGACGCGGGCAGAGCAATTGCTTTGCCCGCTAACGCGAGCAGCACGTGCAATTTTCCGCGCTTAAAGAAACGTCGGGGGGGGGGATCATCTTCGCACAAGGGGAGCGTAGTGCAAGTGCATTACCTGCATTCTTCAACTCTAAACACAATTAATGTATTGACCGGGACATCTCGTGCGACAGCGCTCGAGAAAATGGCTCAATATTTGCGCTCTCTGCCCTAAGTGTTGGGGGGGGGGGGGGGGGGGGGGGGTACGCAGTCGAGTGGGGATAACGGAGCACGGCAACATACCCACGGAGAAACCGGAGGCCGCCCCCTGAATTCCGCAGCGGTGACTTACAGTGGGTAATGGCCAATTCACACTCGCAGGGTCCTTGGGAAACGGCACTGGTGTTGTCCGTAAAAAAATAAAAAATTATCCCCGGTGCCAGCAGATCAAATCGTCGACCTCGTGACGAGGCAAGCCCACCGTGCGGCAGCGTCCCGCGATCCCGGGGGGCAGCCAGCAGCTCGTGATGTAACATTTATGAGGAATGTGGCCGAAAATCTTAAGACCCGCGCGGTATTAACAGCATTTCCTTTGCGTTCGCCGTACCGCTGTCACCGGAACTGGCAGATAAAGTTCTTCATGGTGCTGTCGGCGGTGTGTGTGATGCTGAACCTCGCCGGCTCCATCCTGTCCTGTCAGAAGGCTCAGCTCGTCTCCTCCTTGCACCACTGCCACACGGTACGTGCGTCCGTGTCGCTCAGTGTCGGGAGCGGAGTGGGGGGGTGGTTTGAGGGGGGTGTATCGCCTCCCCCTCCTCCCCGCACTTCCCCACCAACCTTGGATCTGCCAGTGAGCTCAGCCCCCCTTTCCAAAGTCTTAAGAGTCTAGTCAATAAAATGTTGGCACAATATCTAAGCACTGCCTCCGGTTGTAGCTGTGGCCCTGGCTCGAGTCGACCATTGCATTGTGATGCATTGCAATGGTCGGCTCACACAGCGGTCTGTTGCGGTGTTCTTACTCTGATTGGCGATGTTCGTGCGGCGGCGAGAGACATGCTAGACCGTAGGCGGGAGGCGTCTGGGCAAAATGCAGAAATGAGCACGGCTAAGCAATTGGGAGTTGCCAGCCTTTCCTCGGAAACACAGGAGGGCCGGAGAACCAGAGCCGAAGGCACCACAGGCGAAAAAACAGAACTCATCGTTGTTACTAATTCTGCTTAACATTTGACATTTACTTAAAGTTCATAAATATTGACTGCGGCATGCCCCCCCCCCCCTCCCCCACCGCCATATTCTCTTGTATGCTCCCATCCACACCTCGAATGGCCTACTCTTCCACACTGTCCAGATAACATTGGAAAGGGGTGGGAGTACCCACGGTTTATCCCACCACGTGCGACCCGCCGCTCGAGTGACTGGGCTTGTAAGCGACGTGAAGCGTCGCGCCATGCGCCACCCCTCCCCGTTCCTTCAGAGGAGCCAAGTCGCGAGGCCGGTCACGCTCCGCTCGTCCCGCAGAGACGCTCACACGCGTACCCTCCTCTTAGCGGCAAATTGCCCGTCTGTCGGCCGGTCGTGTCTCACCTAAGGCGCGCCGGCCGACACGGATGCGGAAAAGTGCTCCCACGTGAATTGCTGGAGAGGATTGCACTGGAGGAGGAGGAGGAGGGGAGAGAGGGAAAAAGAAACCTCGCGTTCTTCGTGCCGCCGGATAAATGCCGCGGCTCTCTGCTGCGAGTGAAAGACGAACAAAACAACGATTAATGCCGTAGAGCATTTCATTTTAATTGGGGAGGGTGGATGCGGCGGCACGTTCGTTAGCATGCTGGCCGCGCGGGGGCCTCCCCATCGCTCGCGCCCCTTCCAATCTATCGGCGACCGGGCCAAATTGTTCACGGTCCTCGCGGTTAATCTCGGCAAATGTCAGTGTCTTTCAATTACGCGGGATGACGGCGGCCCTGGGATAAGCACCGGTTCAGTCGTCGAGAGCGGAGCCGGAATGAAAACGATGGAACGGAGGGGCGGACGAGAGCGGAATGCGATGCTTTGTTGGAAAGAGGGGTGGCTTGGTAATGGAAAAAACAAGGTGCCGATGCACCCGAAACCCAGAGCGTTGTTAAATCGGCGCACATCGCCTGCTGTGACGCACGGCATCACAGGCAAGGGACACCGACAAAGCAGGCAAAGGTGCCCGAAGCAGCAAGGAGAGGCACGCACCCGGAATTAACACCGTGCGAGGGCGAGGGAGGAAAAGGGACATATGGATTAGAGAACAAATGCAGGCGACTGACACGATGTTGACCGTTAAGAAAGGGACACGCCACTGTGAGTGATGATGACCGGTGGTCACGGTAGGGAGAACGCGGCCGAATGGATGTCCACCGCGGAGATGGAGCGATTGAAGCGGCTGTTTTTTTTTTTTGCCGGAGCTAGATCGATTTCGTGAGAGAGGTGGGGTTTTTTTTAGGCGGCGCTCGGAGCTCGGCAATCGGGACGCATCGCAACCGCGCCTGGGCCGTTACGACGGCGAGCTCCCCAGAGCCAGACCTTGAAGGGGTTGTGCCAGACTGTGTAAAAAAGGGGTGAAGGGCACAAAGTGATGATGCGACCGGTGGCGATGAAAACCATAACGGCAGTCCTTGAATGTCATGTCAACTGCGCACCGAGGGGAATACTTTAACCGTAGCGATGGTTCCAAACATAGGGGCAATTTTTGAAGGCCATGTCAATAGCATAACAAAGAGAAGCACTCAAACCAGATGGCGGTGCTTAGTGGTGGTTGTGGTGGTGGTGGTGATGATGATAAGATTGCACTAAGAGACCTTGAAGTGTTCAGTGTTGACCTCTGCATCAACGGCGGGATCTGCTGGTGAGGTGCTGTGCTTATCGGCTGCGATAACCTCTTGACCCTGATGGCTTCTGCGTCGGGGGTTGCTGTGCCACGCAGCGGCTTAGCCCGGAGCCCAGGCCTCTCCGTGCAGCCAGTGGGCCCTGGTGCAATTGGACCGCCTGCACACTCGATAGCGACGCCACTGGTGCCCGCACGCGCGTGTGCGCGTAGTGTAGCGGTTAGCGTAGTGGTTAGCGCGCCAACACCCAGTGACGATCATCTGAACCGGCCCATGGGTACCCGATGCGGTGCGTAAACATCGCCACTGGGGAGGCAAAGTGGGCCGGGAGTGGTGCTGGCCGCCCACCCCCTTGCGTGCCATGCCCGCCTCCATAGGTGCTCGCTAACAACACTCGCCCCAACGGTCCGTTAAGGTTCGTTTTGCGTGCGTGCCTGCGTGTGTCCGCGCTCACGCCGTGCCGCGCTGTTGTCGTGCGGCCGTCAACGGCGGCGGATTGCGCGCAGGCCGGCTCGGAGCCGACCCTCGTGTGCGTGTGCTGCGAGAACCCGAAGCTCAACGGCTGCAGCAACGCCGCCGGCGACTCCATCCGCCTCTACCCGGCGCTGCAGGGCTGCCAATTCGTGCGCCACTCCCTCAAGGCAAGCGAACCGCGAGCGCCGGCGACGGGAACTGACACGCAGACAGGGGGCCCCCCGCGTGGCGCCGCCACCGCCATCCCCGCCGCTTCGTGCCCCACAGCAACATCCCTGCGCTGCGACAACAACAGCAGCTGCTGCTGCTGCTCCGGCAACAGCGGCGGCTGCTGCTGCTGCTGCTGCTGTTGCCGTCCGCTGTGTTCGCAGTACGGGTCAGGATTTCGTTTTTTGTTCCAAGTGGCGCACCTGTAAGATAAATACGTTGAAGAAAACCGCATTTAATTATTTTTAAAAAAGCAAATCGCAACGTGATGCGATGCGTAAACATCGGCGGTGGGGAGACAAAGGCGGTCTGGGGCGCGTGGTGCTGGCCACACTACCCCACCATCGTTTGCTGTTCCACCGTTCAGAGGTGCTCGCTAACGGCATTTGCACCGGCACTTTGCTAAAGGCTACACCGGGGATCTCTGTATTTTTTGCCGAAGGCAAGCGGAGGGTGAGGGGGGTGGGGTGGTCGGGATGGAGGGCCAGTGGACAATAAGCAACATGTGTAAGACATCTGAAGGTTAGGTGAGTGTGTGTGTCTTTGTGTGTGAAGAGGCTCTACCCTTCGCAAACGCACACGCATACGTACGCGTCCGTGTAAGGCAAAATAATCCATTAAATTGTATTCAAGAAGCTCTATGCATTTGCACAGTGAAATGCATTGAAAAAGGCGGAGCTGTTTTTTTGTCAGCTGTTTCCCATGAATGCATCGCCGCCCCGTGCCCATTTCAATTGCTCGAATCACCTTCAGCGAGAGACAGGGGTGACTGCGGTTTACAAGGCCTTTACGCTATCACCGTGATCATCGCCAGTCACGATCAATCCTCTGGCGGATGAAGGCCTTCCCCAGCTGATCTCTCGCCATCCGACGGAGCAACAATCTACCCGGCACCTGCACCTGAGCTGATTCCATCGCGTTCCATCCGTCGGCTGCCAACTCCTTCGTTCTTCTCCACCACCGGCCACCGTCGCTTCCGGCAACTTTTCCTGCCCAAGCCCTTTTCGTAACAGGGCGACGCATTGAACCTCCGTTCGTCATTCGCTTCCAACCTCTTGGCGCAATTCTGAGCGTGCGTCTCTATCCCGCGCTCAGAATTTGGACACACGTCAAATACAAACGCGGGATTTCATAAAAAATGTAATAAAGGGGCCAACCGGCGTCTGTGCTCCCCACTCGTCCCCAGGCCAGAGTTCAGGCAATTCAAACAAAGCCCCTTCGTCAGACGACAAACAGCGGCCCGGCTTTCGCCGCCGTCGCAGCGAGAGCTAACAGTCTGCAGCTTTTAGCCTCGCTGGCCCTCCTTCTCCTCACTGTGCCCATCCCTCCAGAGAACTCCCTCCCTCCCTTCTCTCTCCTTCCCCTTCCTCTCCGCTCACTCACCCCCTCCCTTCATCCCCTCCGTCTCCACCCAGCTCTCTCACTGTTTTGCACTGGGGAGGGTGGGGGGGGGCTTCAGTATTATTTTTAGCAAATTGATCTGCTTCTTCTCTTCAGGGCGCAAGCCAGCGATACACGGCCGGGCGTCGCGCACAACGATATCCTCAAACAAGCCACGCGCCGCCTACATGAAAATGCTCCCAGCAGCAGCAGCAGCGCACCAGCAGAGCGACGCTGCTGCCTTGGTGCATTGTAATAATGGTCATAATTACTAATTTACCCGGCAAAGCTACGCTCAAAAAGCCGTCGGCCGGTAATTAATCCAGCTCAAAAAAATGTGTTAATATAAGCGTAAAAAAAAGAATAATCTTAAAGTATACCAGATTTCCTGATATGATTTGGAATGATTCCATTGGCAGAGAGCAGGACAACAAATGGCCCTTGACCCCGAGTCACTTGAGGCGTATTTGTCCAGGAAAGACACGCACCGAGTCTGAAGACTCTTTTTCAGGAGGGTTCTGCATGAGGATGTTTGGCCAACAGCAGTTACATTGCATGGGGGTTTTCCGTTTGTTTTATAGCTAATGGAGGAAACGCACGCTAAACAGGTAGAGAATATGCAAACGCCATACAGGGGATGGAGCCCAGGTTCCTCTTGCTGTGAGGCGCGACTGTTACCACTCCGCAGCCCAACGACGGAAAGCGCACTGGGACTTGCAAACCAGAGGTTGACGATTCCATCTCCCGGCAGGTTCATGAAATCACCACCATCTTAAATCCCCCCCTCCCCGTGACTTAAGAATGTATTACTTGTTGTATTTGTGAATATAAAAAAAAACATATAGTACCACCGTGCCCAATTACTTACACTGGGTGTGGGCAGTTAATTGGTCAGGGCTGATCGGTGACAGCTGTGAAAATGTCATTTTGATAAACAAAAATATTCAGCTCTTCCTGCAAATCCTCTGAGCGTTTAGTCCATGCGCCAGAGCAACCATTGGTACCACCTAAGATTGCAGAACCTGAGTCGTACCGATATATTTATGTGGCCAATGAGAGATAATTATTGGATTATATGCGAATTTTATCATTATTCATTGTTATTGGCCACGTAAAAAAAAGAAATCAGAACCGCTGAAGTTCTGCCATGGCAGGTGGCACCCACTGAGTGAGACATCTTCCCTGGGGCTCATGGCCCAAATTGGGCAGGGCGATGCCTTCACGATGCCCTCACGACGCCTCCATTCGCATGTCGACAACGGGGGTTTTGCTCCTCGGCTCGTCTCACACTCTGCCCTGCCGCGTCGCCCCAGCGGCGTCGTTGTTTGTGGTTGGGTTCGAGATAGAAAACACCGCGGGGGTCCCGGTGAAATTACGCAGGAAGCCGCCCGCGTGTTAACGTAGGCCATTCTCAAGAAGCCTTTTTTTTAATCGCAGTGCTGCCGTCACGTGACGTGGGAACGCCTGCATAGGCAGGCATCCATGTGCCAAGTGTGGCGCGTGTGTGTGTGCGCGTAAGGCACGTGCTTTGTACCTGTGTGTCACTGTGCAGTGTGTAAACGTCAGCATAGGGAGAGACAAAGGTGACCGGGCGCAGTGTTGGACACCGGCCTCCCACCCCCCCATGTACTGCTCTGGGCCTTCCTAGGTGTTCGCTAACAGAGCTTGCCCCAACAGTCGCTTATCCCAACAGACTGTCAATGAGTACCTGGTGCCGTGTTTAAACGTCAGCACGGGAGAGACAAAGGCAGCCGGGCGTGGTGTTGGCCACCCACCCCCTCATGTGCCGTGCCGGCCTTCATAGGTGCTCGCGAACAGAGCTTGCCCCAACAATCCGTTAAAGGCGATATCTTATATTCATTTATAAAGCGCCTTAAGGGAGGCGCTGCCCAAAGAATTAACAATTGTATACAGCGGAACAGCGCGATGAGATGATAAGATGATGAGAAGGATGGCAGCACGTGATGAATATGATGATGAAAGTGACAATGAGTGTTTGATGATGAGTGAGTGGGATGGATGGGTATGGAAGTTGGGAAGAGAGAGGGTAAGGGGCGTTTGCTTTTAAGGGAAGAACGACACACATACAGTGAGGCTAATTGTTGGACATGTGCAGGGGATATTTGTCTTTTGTTGTGTGTACACAGCAGTGTTTGTGTGTGTGTGCAGTGTGTGTGTATTTAGGGTGTGTGTGTGTGCAGTGTGTGTGGAAGTTGGCACAGTGTGGAGCCGCAGGTGGTGCATCTGAATCATTTCAGTCAGTTAACCCATAACACTTCAGGGATCTGTCCTGTAACCTCCTGCCAGCCATGGAGCCATCTGCAACCTCACACGGCCTCAAAGTGCACCTAGCCTGACACATGCGTTGTGTTGATGTCACCACTACTTAGCTGTGTGTGTGCTGTGTGCATCTGTGTGTGCAGTGTGTGTGTGTGTGCAGTGTGTGTGTGTGCGGTGTACGTTGCGTGTGGGGAGTGGTCGTGTAGTGGCTAGCGTGCTGTGCTACGAACCCAGAGACCCGAGTTCGATTCCCGTTCACGGCCAACACCGGTGACGAATATCTAAAACAGGTCCTGGGCTTCCCCTAAGTCGGGGGAATCTTTGTCTGTGCGTGTGCCCGCAGGACCTGCTGTTCGCCGTGTGTGCGCTGAGCGTGGTCTCCGTGGCTGTGTGCGTTCTCGCCACGTCCACTCGCTGCATGCAGATCGTCTCCTCCGACGCCCTTCACACGGTGAGTGGGCGCCAGGCAGGTGACGAGGCCCCGGCGCTGGCGCCAGCGGCTCGTGATTCGAGGGTCGCGCATTAACTCTGGTCGAGGATTGACGAGGCCCATCAACTCCGATGAGCACGGTTGGCAGCGTGCGGTGCGAAAGAAGTTCAACGTACGTACATACATGCATCCCTCTGGGGTAGTTAAAATGAGTACCACTTTGTGGGGAAGTCACCAGTGGTTGCCCTGTGGCCTTGACTCTCCCCCGCCACATGAATGTGGAATATCCAACACTGGCTCAGGGCTGCAAACGGAGCAACACCGTACGAAATGGATTTAAAATTTCCAACGTGATAAAAAACAAATCCCGCCATCAAATAGCAGTGTTGACAGACGTAATAATTAAGTGGGCTGGGCAGGACACTTCTATAAGGGACGATGGCGTTCTACCGAAGAGGCTTGGACGACCACGGAGCTAAGCGGCTGAACGGCTCGCGACCCTGCGTTCGACGCGATGGCGAGCCGATTTGCACGTCCCTCACGTCAATTAGCAGCGGACGATGTTTTAAGCTGTTAAGATTCTGCTCTAATCGTTGGGATTACGCGAAATGCCAGATCGCTCTTGCAACAAAATTCACACGAAATCCGTATTCGTCTCACGTCGCGAAAATCAAACGGCGCTAACTCACGTGCAGGTTGAATTATTTGTGCCATCTCGTTTCATTATGGATTGGCTCCATTTCAGCGGGAATGTATAATTTAAGCGTAAAACAAAAAGTTGATAGCCCACCTTTTCCCTAACTTTCTATGAGGAACAAGCAATGTGTTTGAGTTGTGGGCTTTGCGTGTGTGCTGTGTGTGTACGGTGCATGTTGCGTGTGGGGAGCGGTAGTGTAGTGGTTAGCGCGCTGTGCTACGAACCCAGTGACCCGAGTTCAATTCCCGTTCACGGCGAACACCAGTGACGAATATCTAAAACAGGTCCTGGGACTCCCCAAAGTCGAGTCAAATTGAAATGAGTACCCGTTACGATGTGTAAACATCATCACTAGGGAGACAAAGGCAGCCAGGAGAGGTGCTTGCAACTCAGCCACCCCTGCCCCCTCAAACTCAATGGAGCCTTTCATATGTGCTCGCGAACAGCACTTGCCTCAACAGTCTGTGAAGGCGACGTGGGGTGTCTTTGTATTTGGCTCTCTTTTGCACGGTCGTGTGGCAGTTGGCGCGCTGCGCTACGAACCCGGCGATCACGGTTCGATTACTGCCCACGGCTACCGACTCGCAGTGACGATTATCTGAACCCTTCCTGAGCCAACCGACTCGGCCTAAGATGAGTACCTGGTGCGATGTGTAAACATCTCCGCCAGGGAGACAAAAGCGGCTGGGTGCGGTGCTGGCCAACCACCCCCTTGGTGCACCGCGCACGACCTTCATAGGTGCCACCCACGAACAGCACTTGCCCCGTGCGGTGACTAAGCCGCAGCCGCGCCTGACCCCTCCCTCCCCCACCACCGTGTCTCGCTCCACAGTTCATCACTCATCGGCTGGAGCACGGCATCGATGACTGCCCCAACCCGCGCGACTCGTACTTCACGGGCGAGGACTACGATGACTTTGTCGCGCCGGCGCCTCCGCCACCATACGACCCTCCCGCCTACGCACAGCACGCTCCGCCCGAGCCGCTCAGGTAAAGGAGGAGGAGGTGGCGGGGGGGGGCCCCGCTTTAAACTAAACTACAAATCAATTATTTATACCGTTCCTATTTGTTGTTGTTTTTTTACCACCAGGTAAGGGCCCACTGAGCTGTGTAGCTCGTTTTTTTGCAGAAGCGACCTGGCCGGCAAAATTATAACTCGACGAAGTGGCTCATCATCATCATCATCACGTGGAAATTTACAGAAAGCCGAATAAACGTGTGGATGTTGCTTCTAAATGTGGAAGGAGAAACCACGTGACCGAGGGGGAGCGAGAGAGAGAGGCACGCTAACTCCAAATATACAGCAGGCGTCAGGGTGACGTTCGAACCAACGACCTCCTGTATACCAGGCGAGGTAGTTAACATCTCGCTACCGGGCAGCGTGGTTGGCTCGCGCGTCTCGTCTCTATGCCTGTGCAATTGCACAGCTGGCACGCAGCCGGCCATGCACTTTCAATTCTCGCTGTTATTCCAAACGACGTCCGCCTTTGTTGGCGCTTTTACCGACAATGTCATTATTTAATGCTGACAAATGTTCGCTCGATAATTCGCGAGGTTCCGCCGTCGTGTTTTTACTTCTTTATTTTTCACCGGTTTCTCCCCGCATCCTTTCCGTGCGTTGTTTTATTGTCACGACTCTTTTTTTTATTTTGGTGACTTACCCGTCTCCGCTCCCCCCCACCCCCCGTCCCCACCGCCAGGTCACTGTTACGACTGGGTTCAACAAAATCTACTTGAATGTCGATGTTGACAAGTGAAGCCAGTGGAAGGGCCTCCCTCAGTAGGCTCACGGTGAATGTCTGAAATGCTTCCCGGCAAACCGTCGAAGCGGGCGGTCACCACGTGGTCCCGAGTTCGAGATATAAACTCATCGTTGGAGGTTCATAGAAATACGTGGACACCTTGAACCACGTAGAGATACATGGAGACCCATAGACTCACGTAGAGACCAACTCGTGTTTATATCCAGGCAGCTTGGCCGCGATTAGACTGGGTTCTCAAGTGTAGCGAGTTGATGGTCTCAGCCCGGTCACCAGTTGCTGCACACAAAAAAAAACACCCGATTAAAATTTGGGTCTACACTTAATTTGGCTAAATACCAGCTCCGAGAATTTTGTATTCACCGCGATGCGACGAACATTAATCTCATATAGCAGAGCGGCTGAGAAAGTTCTTGATCTCTCTATCATCTGGGGACCAGAGGTCACTTGAAGGGACCTCGGAATCAGCTCTGTGTTGTCCGTTCCCGTGGGCCGCTCTCTAACACGAAGGCCTGCGCTGCTCTGCGAGCGTTCCGATCGGAGTCTTTGCGTCGTGACGTGACACCGATAGCGCAGTGAGGGTAGAATCGTGGGGGGGCTGGGGGGGGGGAGATTGATAAAAATGTAAAATAATCAATCGTAACTAAAAGGCGGAATAAGTGGGATCGAGACACAACACGTGCCAAGCTCCGCAGCCCCCCCCCCCCCACACACACACTGATATCACGTGCGCGTACGCACGGCTCAATATCAGCCAAATCTGTCCAGAAGTAATTTTACTTACTCGGCGCACCACATCCAGTATCACTGTGGCAGTGGCTACGATTCGCGTTTCTATCTCAAGTGTACTAGTGACCCGGAAAAAAATATTCAGCGAGAAATTAATCCGTGGTTCTCACGGTACTGGTTTGCTTTCTATCCGTCACGTGCGGTATGTTTTTTTCTTCTTTCCACCGTGAGCATTGTAAGTGTGCATCGCGTGTTAATTACACATCTCGTGTTTCATCAGCTGGGAAATTTCATCGTTTTAGTTTCCCGACGTTGCCTATGCGATGTTCCGTCTCGCTCCGCCGGCGTGCCGCGACGCTACGCCACCATCTGTGCCCGACCTCCGGCCACGCACACGGACGGTCTTGGAGCGCCGGTGGCAGGGATGGGGTTCAGCCCCCCTTCTCCGCTCCCCCCCCCCCACACCCCAACATCTTTTAATTTACAAGCTCCGTTTGTTGATATATATCAGCCATCTGCAGTAGTCAAGAGGGAATTGCACGAAACGTAAATAGTCCCGACATGCGTTTAGACCGGTTACATTGTTTGCCTGCTATAAATACTATAAATGTCCAAACGATCAGCCACTTTGTTCAGCGAAACGCACGATAGGCAAAAACGGAGCGCGTAGTTACCCCTCCTGCTCAGTGTCTGCTAGCGTTTGTTGAAGGTTTGTTTAACGCTGACCCGGGGCGTGCCCCACCCGTTGGGTTTTTGCACGGGGTAAAGGCGCAGCCCTGCACTTGCTCGCTCACGCCTCCCACCCAGGGTGAGCTGCAGAGAGCCCCTCTGGAGGGTATATTTGTCGACCCTTGCTGGACCGGGAATTTCGGAAGACTGGGAATCCCCGCACTTTGAGCTGCTACGCACGCACGACCGATCGACCGAACGTGGTGGACCCATCTTGTACCGCCCGGTACAAGGTGGGGCGAGGTGGGGGCAGGGGGCAGGATTAAATAAACTCGTCCCTTTGCTTCAACTGCCAAACCGGGATATTGAATGGAAGCAAGTCCGGCGTTGGTACCGTTTGCACCACTGTGCCGGCGCGGGTGCTCGAAAGGCAAGCGGCTCGTCGTTAAGCACACGGGAGAAACTCGCAGTGCGTTCAAACGCGAGCGGGAGGTGACAACCCACGCGGCCGCAGGGCTGCCGCCCGCCGCGAGGGATGCGGCCTTTTCACTCTCGGCCGCGGCATCGTCCCGGGGTTGAGATCACTTGCGTCGCAGGGAACCCAGCGACGGGCGAGCCGTCGCGGGGAACGTGCGTGCAGAGAGCCGCGCACGCCTGATCTTTGTTTGCGTGCGCGCGACCGCACGCGCTCTGCGGGGAATGGGTTCTTTTTTTACTGCCCGGCGGCAGCGATGGCAAAGCCGGGGTCATGCGCCTTTGTGCGCGGGTACGCGCACGCCTGCTGCATTGGCTGCTTAAGGTTATGTAACACGACAAACAGCCGCGTTCCACTCGGTAACCGATTGCAGATATTGAGCATTTCAGGTTGTCGTGCCAAGATTTTTTATTTTGTGTTTAGTCGTCAAGGCTGTCTGGAGCTGGCTTACAGGGCTATCTAACAATGATAATGATAATTTACGGATTCTTTTTTTGTCAATCGAATACTCTATGAAGTAGCCGATGGAGAATTTCTGAGCATACTTCACCACGCTGGTCAATGCGTGTCGGTGAAGTGGGGTGCGCCAGGATCGGTCATACATCACGCCGCGTGGAGGCGCAACGATTGGCGATAGTGGACTTGCAACCCGGGGAGTCGCCGGTTCAATCTCCCGTCGCGGGGGTTAAAATTACGGTGCATCTGCCCAAGACGGCCGGCACGTTTGGCTCCACCACAGTTAGTCGGTCGCGCTTAGGCAGGTCCACGTGCGGTGGTGTAAAGTGTGGGTACTTGCTCTCGAGGGCTCGCTCGCTCGCTCCCTCGCGCTCTCTCTACTGGGATGGCCCTTTCTGCCAGCAGTGGCGTGAGCAGGAATTTTCCGGGCTGCGCCTTCACCCATTGCCATATGGCCGCGAGTAAATGTGAAGGCGCTAGAGCAGCGGCGCGTATCGCGTTACCCGAACGCGCCCCATTGTTAGACTCGGGTTTAATTAGCCTGGTTCTATCGATCATCGATAACCGCCTCCCGTGTTTAACCAACGCGTATTGACAGGCCTTGGCAGGGGTAACCAAAGTGCCGCACGCTTGCCCCTGATGTTTCAAAGCCGCGTTTCGCTGATTCGCAGAAAAATGCGACGTGGTTCTAGCGGATGGCTCCCTTCAGTAACGTGGAACGCGTGGTTTCTGCCATAATGGCGTAGCGCGGTGTTTTCTTTATTGCAAGGCCGGCGGGCCACTGGCAGCCCCTCGTGGCTTTTAGTGCGACCCCCGACAATACAAAACAACACCCCCCATCGTGCTGCTGTCAAACCCCAATGGTTTCAAATGTACAGCGGCCCTCACACTGATGTCTTAACGGCGAAAGTGGCCCCCCTTCTGAAAATTAGTGAAGAACAATGGCGTAGGGATTTCAAAAATCCTGCTGTTTCAGGCCTACTATTGAACATTATGCCTACGTTACCACCGTCATTCAGTGAATCATTATCTTCAGATGATGTCTGCTGTGTCATTGATGACTATTGCGGTGTGTTGGTGGAGTTTCATAGGTTTTTTTTGTGGATTGTGGATGTCTGATGAATTCAGTTAAGTGTGGCAAGTGCTAGGTGGACTGTTACATCGTGGGATTTAGAAAGATAGTGGCGGCTTAGGGAGGCCTTCATCCAGCTGATGATGAATTTAAATTCATGAAAACAAGAACTCACGTACTCTTTGGTTCTTTCGGTAAAGTCACGTAGGTATAAAAATAAAATAAAAAATAATATATCACGACGTTTCGATCGCAACTCACGTTCGATGCTCGTAGGCCTCCCCTCTCACTCCCCCCACCACCGCCAGGCCGTCGGTGGCTTCCTCGGCCGGAGGCAGGGGGGCATTTAAGAAAACTCTCCCATCGCCGAAACCGCCACGCCAGGAGATATAATCTACCCTCTGCATTGCACGTCCACCGTGCCAACCGTTAAACCGTGGCACCCACGATTGAATTTTTAAAAGCGTGGTGGTGGGGTGGGGGGACCTGCCCTACCCTTCCATGCCCCCCATCTCTTCCACCACTCCCCCCCCTCCCGTTGGTGCGAACGTCTCCGCTTTTAACCGCTGGCGTCCCCGCAGGCCGGGCAGCCTGGGGCTGGTGTCGTACCCCCTGGGGCTCTCGACGGGGCCGTCGGGGGAGAGCCCGGACGGCTGGTGCCCCACGGAGCTGCCGCCGCCGTACGAGGCCGCGGTGCTCGGCAACGCCTTTCTGCAGGTGACCAAGCCAAAGCCGCCGAAGTCCCGGACACACGCCACGGCAGTCACGGCCTTGCCACGGCGGTCCTGGACCTGCCATGGTGGGGCCTGGTCTGCCACGGTGATCCCAGACTTGCCCCGGCGGTCCCGGTCTTGCCACAGCGGTCCCGGTACACGCTAACGTAAACATTGCCCTGGGTGAATAATTCATGAAGTGCCTCTTGGATATAGACACAGGGTGGAGCGGTGGGGCAGTGGTTAGCGCCACGGTTGGTGATGGTGGGGAGCATAGACGTTGGAGCATAATACAGTACAGCAATAAATGTTGTCGGCCTGCCCTCCTCTGCCTGCCGTGCATCCCCGAAGCAGTTTTAATGAGTGTGAGTTAATCGCTCGGCAATAATACAATAATAAAAGGTAAAGGCAAACCCTTGTAATTGCTTGCTCAGTTTACTGCTGGCAGAATGGTTTCCAATAAAGCGGAACTGTAGAGAGCCCCTCTCGAGGGTATTTGGTCTACTCTTCCATGCTGGTTAATGTCTTGGAAGAGGTGGGAACACGCACACCTGAAAGGAAAAAAAAAACTACCTCATCTGCTGGGGGAAAGAATATCATAATTACGATGTCAATTTTTGTTTGTACTGCAGACATCCAGCCTTGAAGAGCAGATCACAGACACCTCTTCGTACACGACGAGCAACTACCATCACATGGCGTGCCACGACGGAGGTCAGAATGAGACGTCACCTTCGGTTACATACGTTTGCCTGCATGCTTTGCCACAAGTACGTGTGGTTAATGCAGACTTGATGCCTTGCAAAAGGTATCTGTTTGGTGTTTGAACATCTTAACACCACCGCCAGAAAGGGTAAAACCTATTTTTATTTCTTCATTTTCAAGGTTCACCATGATCAATCCACTGCTAGATGAAGGCCTTTTTTTTCGAAAAGAAACACGGGAAATGGACGTGGGGACGTCCAAATAGAGAAATTAGGAATGAGATGTGATTTGATTCTCATGGACAAACCAAAGATTGCCAGATATGTCTCTGACCCCAACACACGCTTTGTCACGTGAGTTCTATACGGAGGAATTGATAGATGTCAGTCAGTAAGAGGGGTGTGATTTTGTTGTTTTTTTATCGTCACAGCTCTTGTCTCTCCGAATGCCGTCTACAACTGTGTTCGCGATGTAGAGCCACGATCCACAATGGACACTTGGAACTCTCGCAGGGCAGTGCATCGCCTTGTGTTAGAGGGTTGCTCGAGACCGACCCACCACTTCTAAACCTGTAACCATCACTGCACGCATCCCGGCCACATTCGCCGGGTTACTCGAGGGGAATGTGTTTGACTTGGCAAACACTGTGCTTATAATTTTAGCTGTAAATCTGAGCCCTCAGTCTTTTTTTCGGCTATTATTGGATATCGCTACACTGCGTGCTCATGTGTGACCTGCTTAAAAGTATTTGAAAGATCGTTTGGCCCCCGGTAACCCAGTACCAATTCGACGTGAGTTTGGGTCGCGCCACGTCGTTGCTCGACGCGACTTTCCGACGGTTCGCTCCGCGTGCCGGGAACTTCTTCTGAATCCAGTTCCCGAAGACGCTCCCGGCACGACGAGCGAATCGTCGGACGTAAGCACGGCCGCGAGAAGCTACGCAGCGGATAGCGTTCCCCGCCCCCCGCCCCACCCCAAAACGCCACGGCCGTCGCCCTCACCGACGACTCCCAACAGGCCAAAGCCCCGGAGCGACGTCGGCGGAGGGGACGGCGAGCGACAGCGAGGACGCGACGTCGGCGGGCTCCTACTCGGTGCGCGCCCAGGGCTCCACGCGCTCGCTGGAGCCGTCGCCCAGCACCACCGACGCGACGACGCCCACCCTCGCCAGCTGCTGCAGCAGCCTGGGCGCCAGCGACTCCCCCGCGGAGGACGGCGACCGCGTGCCCGGCTACTGCGAGCGGTGCGGCACGTGCGCCGCCGAGGTTTTCCTCGGGGAGGATGAGGGAGGGCCGGACGGCGTGCCCAGGAGGAGGAGGAGGAGCGACGGCAGCGGCCCGAGGTGGACGGGCACGGTGCCGAGCGACGGCGCCGACGCGGCGAGCGAGCCCTCCGTGGCGGCGGCCTGCTCGTGCTTTGGCGAGTCGGGCACGGAGACCGACCTGACGGCCAGCGACGAGATTTCCGTCGAGAATTTCCAGAGGCGGTGCGGCTCGCTCGAGACCGTCGCCGAGGAAGCGGCGAGGAGCGCGGAGGAGCGCGGCGAGGACGCGCCGGGCAGCCCGGGGGAGCAGGACGACGGGTGGAGAAGCGGGGACGATCACGTGGAGAGAGAGGAGGAGGAGGAGGAGGACGAGCGGGGCCACGGAGGGAGGAACGGGGAGGAGCAGGGTGAGTATAGGACAAGGGAGGTTGGGCAGCACGAGTGCAGCTGTGCGGAGTGTCGATGCGGGGAGGTTTGGGGCATGAGCACTCTTGCCGCAGGCGTATTGATTGTACGGCAGGCGGAGGTTCATTTAATTTCTCCTGGCAAAAGTTCAAAGCCTACCACCTCTCGCACTGCGCGCCAGCGAAATGCAATGGGGCCCGAGCAGCAGCTTCAAGCCAACGGGTCCGCGGCTCTGCGCGACTCCGCGAGCAGAACGCGACCGGACGATTGGGTCTCGGACGATGAATTGACGGAAAACGTAAGCGTCGCAAACGCCGCGGCAACGGCGTGGGCCGGCGAGGCGGGATGCCGCGGAACGGACGGGGAAGTGCAAATTAGCCACGCCGCGGAGGAGGAGGAGGCCACCGCGCAGAGTACACCGGTCGAGGAGGATGCGGCATTTCCTCCTTTGATGACCGAGCCGGCAGGCCTTGGCAGCCCGTCGGTGAGCCACGTGCCGCAGCCCCAGCGGAGTGCCAAAACCCCGGCCACGGGAACGCCGTGAAAGGGGCTCGCACGGAGACGGGAGGGAACCATTTTCAACGTCTCGAGAGCCGAATCGACGCTGTGAAAAATCCCTTGGGGATGACGCGAAAGAAAGCCGTCTCCCCGGTGAATTATACTTCCCACACGCGTTGTTGCCAGAGGATCGTAGGGTGCTGGCGTTTAAGGTCCCGCCAACAATACGAAGGCAAGTATTATTGGTCACGTTTGATTGTTGATAATTCAATCTATGCAGTTCAGGATTCCATACCAACATTCGATTACGCCACTGGTTTTTTTTCTTCCCATCATATCTCCTTTGTTCTTTTTTTTAATCTGTTTCCCGTCCGATTCCATTCCATACTCAATCGAAAGCTGCCGTCGGGAGGAGGAGTTGGTTTCTCGCTGGGGCTCGTTGAAGCCAAATGTCGTTCTTATTCGAGCAGGGAGGGAGAGACCCCCAAAGAGCGATCATCTAACCCGCTGTCAACTCGGTGCATCCATTTAATCAGTTTCGTCCTTTTTCCGTACTCTGTGTGGAATCATGAAATAGTATCTTGCCCGCGCGCGCACGCAACCCGTTTTGAACGCCCGTGGTTATGACCTCTTGAACACGTTGCGGTGCATTATATATTGTGCCAGAAGTAGGGCTCTCTCGAGACTGTTTTTAAATTAAATTCAGCAAAAGATTCTATTGAAAACACCCAACCGGTGGTGCTACTTGGAAACGGACTGGATTATTTTTTAGGAGTACATGGATTGGCCATAGGATATCCACGGTGTGATTTTCTAATTGATAAGCAGATTCTTTTTTTAACTACTGTCGAAGAACGATTGTGATAAATTATTGGTAATTCAATACTTTTCTTGAAACATTTTACAAAGGGTTGTCACGTCGAAACCAGTGGGTATTTGTTCGCCGTTATTTTTTTTTCACAGACAGTAAGATTAAACCTTGGCTGCTAATTGATGCAAAAGCGCGGGTTCCGGATATAAAATAAAATATAAACATGAAACATTCAACGAGCAATAATGATCTGTTGAGGAGATTTAATAATCCAAATAAGTTAACCATGTGGCTACATCAGGCATCACAAAATTCAAGAAATTAATCTTTTGCAAACGTTAAAATTTCTGTGTATGTTTTTTTTCGCGGTTGTGCATGGCACCCCCCTACACGATTTCGGGCCGTGACGCGATGTCCGACGTTACCGCTCCACGCGCTGGGAGCTTCTTCAGGAACTGAATTGCCCATTCCTATTCAGTAAATATCTGGATACCCGTCTAAAAACATTTCCCGAATTCAAATCAGGAATCAAGTTCCTGGAGAAGCTCCCGGCCACGCAGAGGGAAACGTCGGACATCACGGCAAACAACAGACCTGCCCGAGCCACACATACGTTATCAGAGATCATGTAAAAAATTCCCCCAAGATGTGACTAGTCCGATTCGCTTGCACTTTACTCCCTCGATGTGATTTTAAATATGCTCATTAGCTTTGTGTTATTTAGTCAAGGGTTGATGGATAATTCGAGTGTTAACAGATTTGTCCTCTCATATGCGCTATAGCTCTCGATTCTCGTGATTTGATGACTTGTACGAAAATATCCAGGTGCTTTGTGCAAATCGTGCGGTCGTGAGAACCAAACTGTACGCACGTCGTGAATGTTTTACCGTCAATTCATATTTGCACTTTCATATTTTCACGCGATTTCATTAAGTAACCATGCAATAAGTCACGGAGAGTGTACGTTTGTGATGAAGGCCTGCGTTTTCGAATGAGGCGGTTCAACGCACTTTATTTTTGTATGTTGCTGGTATATTTTTTCTTTTTCTTTAATTCTCAGGAACACTTGAAAATGGGTCAGAAATTTTCGTCATTCCCGTGTTTTTTTTTCCTTTATACTTTTCTATCGGCTCTTACGATTTCGACCGCCGCAATAAGACGATTTGTAAAAAAAAAACACAGTCCTGCGGTAAGTCGAGAGGGTGGTGGTGGGGGGGGTCGACGGGAGACCCCCCCCCCCACCGCCCGCGGTGCGCAGAACACGCGCGGGTTAACGAAGCGACTCCCAAGGTCAACAGGGCGCGCGGCGGGAGAAGCGAAAAAAAACACGGCAAATCCTTCAATTCACGGATTGCTAAGCTGGAAAACAACAACAACAACAACAACGCGCGCGCGCCTATTCAAGTACTTAACCGCGACGATGATCGTAAACCGAGCGTTGAGCCGGTTAAAACCCGAGCGTTTTCTACACTCGAATACGGTGGTTTAGTATCAGCGTCCGCGACAGTCACGCGTCGATGTAAGATAAGGAAAACGCGCGGCTGCTGTGATGCAATAATGTCAAATAAAAGCGAGAGAGGAGTAAGCGGCGCGTGGCCCCATCGCCGCACCACGCGGAGGAGCGGTCTGGGGGGGGGGGGGGTTGGTGGGTGGTGCGGTCGGGAGGGCCGTTGGGGGGCGTCCATAAATGACGTCACGCTTAGTGGGGGGGGGGGGTTGCTCAGACATTTGTCACGATGTGTGACGAGGGGGGGGGGGTGAGAAATGTGACGTCACATAAAAATACGCAACACGTTCTACTTAATTAAATAGACTTTTAATAAATGTTTTCTCCTACAACATCAGCGTGCAGCGCCACGTTAAATACGCACTACAATGACAATAGTTTAAAACTATTTGAAGCGTATATATATTTTGGGGGGGGGGGGGGGCAGAGCTTTGTGACGTCATATTTTAGGGGGGTCTGACTTTTTGTGACGCCGTGTGACGAGGGGAGGGGGGGGGTTCAAAAATCGTCCAAAATCGCGTGACGTCATTTATGGACGGCCCCTTGGGAGTCGACGTTTGGAGCCGGGGCACGGCGGGGCGCCTTGGGACGCGCGCCGCTGTGCGCGTTCACTCCCGCGGGCGGCGCGGGCGGCGCAGTGAACCCGGCCACCCGAGCTAAGATTCCCGCTCGCGGCCAACACCGCTGACGATTATCTGAACCGGTCACGGGCCTCCGCTAGGTCGACTCGGCCTCAAAATGCGTGGCTGGTGCGGTGTGTAAACGTTACAACTGGGACCGGGCGTGGTGCTGGCCACCCGCACCCTCGTGTGCCGTGCCGGCCTTCATAGGTGCTACTCGCTAACAGCACTTGCCCCAATAGTCTTATCAAGGCTATATGGGGGATCTTTGTCTTTGCTGCTGATGGAGGGGCGGGGCTGGCGGGGGTTGACAGTGGGATGAGGGGGGTGGGGCGACGGTGTATGTGGGGGTGTGGGGTGCACTTCGTGCGGGAGGGGACCCACGGGTGTGAGAGGCAACGTGGGGGGGTGGGAGTGGTACAGATGGCGCGCGTGGGGGTGGAGTAGCCCAGAGGGCAACCCCCCCCCCCCCCAGAATTCTTAGGCGCCCCCTTGTAGGTCCGATAACGTTTCTGAGATGTTTTTCATCAGTGTAAAATTGTACAGGAAATACATATTATAATTCGCGGTCGTGCGTTGGCAGTGGTGCAAAAGCAATAACACCATTGTGACGAATCTGATTAATAATTCTCAAATGGATAATTGCTGAATTTTGTTGCGAGAAATGTTCTCCGATTTACCCTTCAGCTGAAACAATAATTGGCGCGTGAAACGCTTGCACATCACGTGGCAATTAACTCGATTTGCTTTGTCGAGTAGCAGAGGGGTCTTCACGACGCGGATTACGCAGCCCAACAAGAAAACATGAATAGTAATATCATCTGCGAAAAGTCGACGTGTTGAGACAATTAATAGTTGTCGATGCGTATTTATTTATTTCATCTACGTTGACAATTAAACCATGAACACTTCAACAATTGATGTCATTTCCCGAAAGCATTTGCCTCCTCCTCCAAAATGTTTATCTCCGGGTGCGCGGGGATCATCGTACAGTGTGCGACACGAAGAGAGGACTTGGGGAGGCATCGACCAGACAAGAGACTCGAGGACATCAGTCTTTCTCGCCTAACCCTCCGGCACTGCGGCAATTATACAAATCGACGGGAGCGTCTCACGGTCCAAAAGAAGAGCGGTGGTGGCAGGGAGTGGGTTGGGAGGGGAAGAGGGGAGGCCTCAAATACAAAGGGAGCAACGTTTTTTTTTGTTTTAATTAGGGGATGGAGACCATGGTAGAGTCAGGGTATGATTAAAGACATTTTGTGCCGGGTCAGTTTCCCGTGATTTTGGATTTGTGCTTCAGACCCTTTAAAGACGCGGGCGATCAATAGCGTAATCATGAAGTGGCTTTTTAAACCTGGGCTTGGTACGCGAGCCAATTAGACCCGCGATTCACAAGGGAATAAATCGTCCACTTTTCTTGATAAGGGAGGAAGAAATGCTCGCGAATTACCGCCGCGTCGAACGCGCTCGCACGGAGGAGCTGACGTTTTAATCAGTACTGGGATGGCGACGGTAGAATCAGCCTTCGTGCTTGAAGCCACGGCCATAATCTGGAAAATAGGGCATATATTCTAAAACTACCTCTATGCATTTTGTTTTACAACCCTTGCGTATGTAAAAAAAATATTTGGTGATATCGCGTTGGTGTTATTGGTGATATTGTGGGGTTTCTTTTGCTTTGCCATCAAACAAAGAGGGTCGCTGCAATCCGCGAAAGTGCGCCTCTGCGGCTGTCTGGAACGCGCTTCCCACATTAGGAAGCCGCTGGAGCTTTATACACTTCTGCATCTACATTGAAAACGTATTTCATAAGAACTGCTATTCGTGTTGTGTTGTCCTTCCCCAGCACCTCCGATCAGCGTGGTTAGTTACGTACGATGTGAACGAAGTTCAACATACATACACACAGTGGTGCAAAGGGACAATTTACAACACACTGAAAACGACAGTCAATAACACTGTGGCCTTCAAAGGAATAATTATATATAATAGGCGACGTTTTGGGCAATGCCTCTTCATCATAGCATATACATCGTGAGGCGAGGGAGACAGTGAATGATAAGAATTGGAGAATAGACTTTTCACCATGGAGTCTCGATAATTACATGTTTTTTAATGTTTCCCGATTAGCTGTTTTAGATTGGCACGCAACTAGTTACCAATTTATAGATATTGAGCACCGGAAAGTGGCGTAGAAGCGATATTATCAGCTCAGGGGGTGGAGCAATCGGTCTGGCGAGGGCCCCAATATTTGATTCGCGAAAATTTGCGGAAGCCAAACATTACCGCTCTGATTAATTTGAAATCAAATGTGGACCCTAAATAAATGAATTTTCATTAAAAAATAATGTTCTATTAAACGGCGTTTAAATAAGCTTGTGTTCTTTGACGCTGTTGTTGTACACATAGCTCCCGGTTTTTGTCAAGGGGGCCCCAACTCGTAGCTTTGGCCGCCAGGGGGTGACCAAGGCACCCACTGCCCCCACGCTCGTGATGCTACTGGTTCCAGACAAAGCCTTCAAAGTAAGCAAACAAATCATTATTAAATACTCATTTGTATTAAAAGTAAAAATGATTCAAGGTTGCCGGCACGTTGCATTACGGGTGTACCAATTGTGTTGAAAAACTGTAGGGGAACATCCGGACATCTGGAGCGGCCGGTGGTGGCTGTCGGCACGAGGGCCAGGGGGTGCCATCTCCCTCCATCCCACAGCAGGGGGCTCCCAAGCCAACGGCACCGCCATCAGCACGGCCCGTTTTGCACCGCGCGCTCCATCAATCCCACCGCATTCACCCAGAGCCACCGTCATCGGCGGTGGAGGGACGAGGGTTTAAATGCTGGCGTTTACTCGGCGTCTTGAGCCAAGGAAGGACGGGGAAAAGTGTCCATTTGGCGGATCCTTATTCGCGAGCACCTCAAAAAAAGACGAGGCAGTTGAGGACGATTGAAAATCCATTAATTACGGCGCTCCGCGGGATTTAAACTCACACGCCGCCACCGTATTTTCAACCGCACTGTATTCACACCGAGAGAGTGCCCCACACGCAGCGGAGCACTGCGATGTTATCGCGAAACTTGCAAGAGCGAAGCGAGAATGGAATGAGTGGGTGGGTGGTTGGGGAAGAAAGGGAGGCACAGTTGGTTTTCGTTGTGGAACAAAGGACTTGTGCTTGCGAGAGATGTGAGCGAGCCGCTGACGGTGTCTCTCTGAGACGGCTATTTTTGGACCGCGGTGCGGTTACAGGGAGTGTAAATCACGCCGGCCATAAATAAATCAGCCAGGCAAGGTCTCGGGCCTGGATTCCTAACCCACTAAAATTAGGACCACCCCCTATCAATTATCGCTGAATCGCCCGCAGGCAATTGTGCGGGTCCTTAAAAGAACATTTTAGAAAATTATCTTTATTTATTTGTTGTTGGGTTTTTTTTATTTTCGTTACTTTGCAAAAAGCCGCCAGAATTTTTTTTTTAGCGCTGGTGCCATATAAGAGCATGAAAATAGCGGCGAGGGATGATGTCGCTTGGATTGGTGAGCGCTAACCAACGGCGCTGGGGTGAGGATTAACAAGCATTTTCCCCCGGGGGGCATCGTTTTCTGCACAGCCAATGCAGTGAAAGCGCGGAGTACCCAGAGCCTCTTATTCAATGACGGATGTAAATAAACATCGCCAGTGTGGGCAGATAGATCGGTGCACTGCAATTGCACACCTTAGATTTGCTAACAAATAAAGAAGGGTTACATTTTATTTTTTACACAAACCCGAGTTCATTCTTGCGCTCGGATGTGTCCTATTCCTTTTTACACGCTTTTTTTAACTCACTGTCTGTTGTTGTATCCTCAAATCTTGTAACTCAATTTTAACCCACTTCCCAATGTGGTATCGACTGCAAACTTGGTATACTTATGTCATACTGATAACAATACTATATTCTATCATAAAAAATGTATATTTTTAAACATTATTTTGTATATGGTTATGTCATCGGCTTGAGTCTAATTGTCCACGCTCAACTGACGTTGGCTGTAAATCACCACGGGTCCCCTTACGTTGTGGCAAGCTTCGGGGCCACTTCCTGGAGTCGTGGAGTTCTTCCATTACTAGTACATTTCATAAAAGCGTGTTTTTTTTAAAGTTTTTTTTTAATATTACTTATTTACTCCTTCTCCTCCTCGTGGGTGCACTTCATTTTCAGTGCCGAGATATTTTTTTCAATGGTTTCACTTAACTTGACTCCTGTGTCGTGGTCAAATCTTGTAATCTACATTTCGTCCACTTCCCGTTGTCCAATCTATTCAAAATTTTGCACACGTACTCAGATCCGGTGACAATACATGCCTGTATCAAAATCGGCATCAAATAATCAAGTCATTGGCTCTTTTAAAGCAATGAACATTTTGTATGGACGGCTTATTAATTCAATATTTATTTGGGTAGGTCAAAAACGCTGCAGTCCCT